TAAGTCGTTTAAACCTATAACTCAGTAAATAAATCCAATCACTATGCAAGTTGGTTAAGTTTCAAGTTTTGGTCTGTTTAAGACTCTCTACATAGTTGTTTGTAGTATATATGTATTATAATTGCTTTATTAGGGGCTTTAAATTTATATGAGACCCGAATTCTGAATACAAACTGTTATTCTGAAACCTGCTCCCTCTATATATGTTTGCACTTATTTCTCCCACCTTATTTTGTGTTCTCTACACGACTTTTGCTTTACTTCTTTTTCTCTTCATTGGCTTTTATTGAAAGGACATGTTTTTTGTTTTGTCCCTTTCCTTCTTATACTGATGTTAAAGTTATATGCTTTAATTTTTATTAGTACATCCTTGTGTGAAGTGGGGACATAAACCTAATCCATCTTAATTCTATTTTCATGCCTACCCCTCCCCTCCCATTGCCTTCTTCTCTGGATCCCCTTCCCATTTAAGAAAATCTGTCTCCTTACTTCTGATTATCTTTTATTTTGCTCCTTGTTTATAATTTCAGTTTCTTATGTAAGAGAAACTATGCAATATTTAAACTTGTGTGTCTAATTTTATTTCTCTTAATATTGTGACCTCAAGTTATTTTGAAATTTTAATACATTTAAGCCATTACTAAATTTCTGACAAAGTATATACAAGGCAGGCCCTTGGTATACCTTTAGTACTCATTAGGTCTCACTCTCAATTTTCATGATACCGATGTCTAGAATTTCAGTCTCAACATGTTTAAAAAATAAGAAGCATATTTGCTTGTTTAGTTACTGTGAACATGAGTGTATTTTTATCACTCAGCAATCTAGTTGTTTTGATTGTCATCTTGTTTGAAACTTACCCCTTCATTCCAGATTTATCTTTGTGATGAATTCTATCCTTCAATAGTTCTTGCAATTAGTATCTGAGAGAACTGAACTTATCCTTAAATGTCTGTAAATGTTTTTATTTTATACCTACTATTAAAGACACAACACTGTACATTTAATATTATTTTCCCATAGCACTTGAACAAGTTCTTTCATTAATGAAAATTAGCCACCAACCAAGTCTCCATTCTTTTAAGGTCATTTGTCTGCTCTGGTGGGTCGTATGGTCTCTTCCCCATTGGAATGTCTCTATGTGGGCTTATTTTTATTTCCCCTGCTGTGTGTACCTATTGGGGTTCACATATTAGAAGTTAGAGAAATGCTGTCATTTTAATTAATTCTGGAAAATTACAGATATTATCTACATCTTGCAGATCACCTTCCCCATTCTTTATAGTTTCTTTTCCTTCTGCAGTTTTTATTAGGCTCATATTGTACTTTTCAGTGTGTGTGTCTATTAATTTCTGCCTCAGTTTTTCTGTCATTTTGTCTCTCTGGGAAATTAACTCATTTCTATCTTTCATTATACTTACTATTGAGTTTCCCACTTTCATCTTTTATAACTTCTTTTCAGCTTTTTCTGTTATCTCCCCATTATTTTCATTTCTTTAAGTAAGAATTCTCCCATTTGTTCAGCTTTACTAATCTCTCATGGGGTTTCTCTTGTGCCTCCTCACTGAAAGGCTATTTTATGGGCACCACACCCCATGCATCTTGGCTGCCTGGATCCATAGGAAGCTTAAGTTAGCAGCTCAGCTGAGGTATCCCTCAAGTTTGAGGTCTCAAAAGAGTGGTAGCTCCATTTTCTGGGCCTGCAGCTGTGTGCCATAGTGTAGGCATCAGTGTTATGTGACAGTCCTGACTTTAGTGACAAGCTTTGAGAAAACAAGAGGAATGTCCTGATGAAGCACAGTCTGAGCCATGTCAGGGGCCTGCAGCTGCAGGCCACCACTGAATCACACTTGCAGAGTTAGTCTCAGATCCCTGTGAACATGGGGCTTCCTTCTGTGCTTACATCTATAGATTTCCTTTCCTAATTTTGATCCTGAAATATTTTCATAATAGTTATTGAAGTTCTTTTTTTCAAAAGCTAGAAAAATTTATCATATTCTGTCTCTTCAGTGTTGAGGAAGTAGTATATGCAACCTTCTTCACCATGGGAGTGTTCTCTATGTTTCAGAAAATTGAAATAGCTGGCCAGAACCCCAGCCTAACTACTGCCAATATGTAGATTCAAAGCAATTTTCCACCTATAGACACTGCACTTGTGTCTCACTGCCTCAAGATTTTGATATTTAAAATAAAACAATACCTATTTTGCCTTTTTAATACATTAGTACAGGAATTGCTCTTGTAAAGAAATATACAAGTGTTTTGAAAATAATACCAAATCTTACTAGTGTTGTAATTTTTAAAGTTCTACTGTGATTACAAATAACATTAGTATTTGCTTTTCTTACTAATAAATTACTTCTGAGTTTTCCACTAAAACATTGCTTTTTTATTTGTACTATTTCTACCATACAAATCTTGTTTGGTATTAAATACAAGACCAGAGACTGGTACTGCACCTCAGTGGTGGAAAAATTGCCTATCATGTGCAAGGCTCTACATTCAATTCCCAGCATCTCAAAAATAAATAAATAACATAAAAAAAGAATTGTTGGATGGAAGGTGATATACTAGGGAAAACTCCAAAGACTAAGGAACAAATTTTGTTTTAATAATTTAACAAACATTTACTGGATGTCAATGTGCCCATGTACTTATATTGTGCCTGAGATATATTATGTAGATCTTTAAAAACAAAACATTATGTTTATAACAATATTATATTTAAATAAAAATTTCAAAAATAGGAGCTCTCATTTACCTTCTACCCATTTTTCTATAGCATTTTTATATCAGGATGGTACATTTATCAATTAACAAACTAATACATATTGTTATATTTCTATTCATATTACCTTAGTTTTCATCTTTGTCTTGTAGGATCCTAGTCTATGTATCACATTACTGTTAGTCATCATTTCCCTTTAAATTCCTCATAACTGACAGTTCCTAGGACTTACTATTTTTTATAATCTTGATAGTTTTGAAAATGATAAGGCAGATATTAGAGATTGGTCTGATATTTCTATCATGATTAGACGTGGGTGCTGGGGTACCAGGCGAAAGACCAGAAGGATAAAGCACCGTTCTCCTCACTTCATAACAAGACCACAAATGACAGCATTAGTTTTGATTTTGAAGTGATATGTCTAGATTTCTCCAATGGAAAGTTACTCTGTCCACGTTGTGTGCATTTGTTGGAAGAAAGTCACTGTAAGTAACCCACATTTGAAGGAGAAGTGCTGTCCTTCACCTTGGTTAATGGCTGAATATCTTTGAAGTTGTTCTGAATGGAAGATCTATTCTTCTCATTTATTTATTTAATAATTTCCTTCTATCAGTATGAAACCTTAGCTATTTCTTATACCATATGACTCCATTTTGTTGTTCAAATTGCTCCAACATTGGTGGTTGAGAGCTCTTGCCTCTCCTATCCCTTTGACATACACATTGTGTGTGTGTTTAAATGATTTCTTACTTTTTATTACTACAAGACTCTCTTGTCTTGCATATATTTCCTTATTGTATCATTCTCAAAATCAATAATTTCTTCAAGGAGTCCAGATTCCTTTTAGTAACTAATTGTTAACTAAAAAGTAATGCTGCACTAAATCTAACAGAATTAGACATTATTTTGTATTTATCCTCCCTTAAAATATTTAATGATTTTTCTCCTGTGTCAAAGAAATGCTGAGAATGTAATAAAAGGCCTCATGAAAGCATTAGATTTTTTTGGAAGGTGACACTTCCAAAATGGAAACGTATAACTTTTGGAGAAATATAGGAAGTTCAGCAAGGATAACAGAGGACATCCTTTTTCACTGCCAATTAAAGTCATATATTTCTTCTATGTATAATAATATTCTAATATTCTAATAATGAAGTATCAAGTAGAAGTTTCTTAAATGTGAGAGCAAATTAAATTGGAACTACAGTAAGTTTCAACAAATAGGATATCTTTCTCTTTAATCAGAACCAAGAACAATACCTCAGTAGCTATTAATAAATTATTGTTTTTGGTTTAGACAAAAACCTAACATATTTGTTGTTTCAGTGGATCTTAGATATGTGCCCAGACTCCAAAGCTTAGTTTTATTTGTAAGGTTCTCCAACAGAGTGGTTGCTATAGATATAGTAAAAGCCCAAAGGACAGCATGCTGAGCCTTCGGAAAAATAGTTCCATTTCCAAAGGCAAGGAATATATATTGAGGCTTAAAGGGAGCTGATCCTTAGGATAAAGTCCACATAGCTAATATAAGGTTTTCAGAATAAAATCTAAGGTTTCAGTGAAATCTAGGGACCAATTATGTGATGTTCAAAGGAGCTAGTGAATACAAGTGAGCCTTAGTTTTACTTCCATGCTTAAGGCACATATGTGCAAGTCATCCTACTCAATATTGGGAAATAAAGTTTTTTTAATAGATTATGATAACAAAGAGTAAAATGAAATGACGGTGCTGAAATTTTAATCTCCTGAGTTTTAAGTTGCTTCAGTGTAAAAATAAGTACAGTGTGCAATTTAACTTCAGTGTGTAACTTAACCTCGGTCTAGTTCTCATTCAAAGAGGAGTTGAGAGTCCATGGGAAATATTTCCCCTGACCTCTTCTTTGAACTTACCCATACTACTTGAATTTGATGATGTTTTCTCATGAACTAACATTCAAAGATAACTAATGGAGTTTTCCACCCTGGGAAAGCCAGGTGTACAAGCTTTCCTTATCCTCTATCATCTTGAAGACAGAATGTCTTATGAACGTAAGATTTGTAAAAATTTAACCTCTCAGTAATGTGTGAAGAGTAATAAAGAGGAGGAAACAATGTGATCAGAGGAAGTCAAGCAAAACAAGAGTGACCAGGGTGATCTTCCAATGGTTCTGGCTGGGTCCCTGAGATGCTTCATTTGGCAAACTAATAAGAAACAAATTCTCCAATGAGAAAATGATCTGGTTCTCAAATATCACTGGAGCGTTTAAGGAAAATGAGATGCTAATGATACTGGCACTTCAAAAGCAAATCACCTAGAATGATGGACCCATTTTAGTGCTGGGGAGCTAGAGAAGAATGAGAAAGGACTGAGTGAGCTAGGATAGCAAATTATTGGACACCCATGCATTCTGCAAGTTGGCCATGTTCTTTGCCTTGATCACCTGAAAGGCTGCAAATTCATGCTCAGTGTGGTCTCTGGCTTCAGTGGCTACTCTTCTCAAAGATCATCATTTTGAATCAAGGAGAAATTGCAGGTAAGGCAAAGCTCTTTCTCTGACTTTATTTCTTCATGCTACCTTTCTTCTATCCATTTTGGGATTCATATTTGCAATACTGGATATATGTTACATTTGTGTATACATGTAATAATGTGCTTCTCATTAAACTATTTGTAATCCTTAATAGCCAATAATATAGATAGTATTCAGGTCTTTTGGAAACTGAATCTTCCTTTTGTTGATGTGGACTCATATAGCTGTTATTTCATATACAATATCTTCCAGTTAGTTTACCTCAAATCATCTTTCATGATTCAAACCAGCTCTAATTTTGACTATCATGTTAAAATGATCACCATAATATATAGCCTTGTAGAATAAGGTTATCTAACTAGTCAGCCATATTGTATTAGCCTCACAAACCATGCAGTTTTGTCCAAAGTATTTCACCTGAGAGAATGAATGTGTCTAACCCAACAGAATGTGAATGTCACAGCCAGCCAGTGTAGCATTTGTTGAGTATTTAGTGCTACAGTATAAGGGCTAGTTTTACAGAGCTCTAGACTAAATGCAAACTTATGTTTTTTTCTATAGAGGTTGAGAATACACATTATTGTAAAAGTGCATATATCTACATAGAATACAATATAGGTGAAAACTGTTGCATATTCATAATACTCATTCAAGTACTAGGCAAACTGGTATCTAATTATTTGCACATTATTTCAGAGTGATAATGAAAAAGTTAAAGGGAATTCCCTAAGAGTTAAAATGAGTTTTTTTGGGATAGATAAATGCCACTTTCTTTAGGTTCCTGTCAATAGAATAAGATGTTTTACAACTCTATTTTTGCTCCTGGAAGCTCCACAGTCCTTTGTTTGTTTGGCCTTAATGAATGACAATTAAATGGAAATCCTCTGGTCTGCTCATGTCATGATGGTAAAGTTGATATATGTAGTTGTCTGTGGACTATAGAAACTTCTGAAACTTCTGAATGGGACTGGGATTTGAGGCTCTCTGAGTATATGTATGGTGATGTCTTTAGATGCTGCATAACTGTAGGTTCCAAGTCAAGGATAGTGAACATGTATTCTTACTTTGTCTTTTCAGTAGCATCCTCACAAGTAAAGTGATATTTTAAATATATTATAGGTAAAAAGCTGAATGCTAATAGCCACTTGCAATAAAATAAAGGTAGGTAGAAAATCACTGCCTTGTATTCAGGTTAACTGACTGATGCCAAGGGAAATTTCATTTGAAATATAGCCCATGATTTTATATTAGTGAGCTGAATTCAACCATTTCATTTTCTCGAATCAAGAACAGCTTCCATTTCTTAACCTCAATTTAAAGTTTAAAAAGTGATTTCAGGTAACTCAATGGCACAGCATCTGCTTGGCAAGCACAAGGATCTGGTACCAAAATACATACATACATGCATGCATACATACATAAATACTTAAAAATAAAATATAAAAGATGTTTTCGGGGAAAATATCTATCCAGTAACTTCCCAGAAATTTCCTGGTATTTTATACTCCACATTAATTTTGCACAAAAAGACAAGAGCAAAAAGCTAGGATAAATTGGGCAGGGGGTACCTAAGTCAGAGCATACCTGGTTTGGGTGGCGACTTCCTCAGAATTGGTCAAAAGCAAAAGACCTAGATATAAGATACATATATTGAGACACAATTGTGGTGTTGGCCATAATGTAGAACTAAGTGTAGAACTGGAAGCTTTTAGTCGGTGCTGGGAAGGACATACTCTGTGTCAAGTGGCTTTGCTTCTGCATCCCGCATCCTAGTGGCAATGGGGGTCTGGACCTCCTACTAGCGCACCAGCTATCAGGGAGTATAAGGGGCCAGATATGAGCATCACCATTCATCAGCTCATGGATGAGATTTGCACATGAACAAGCCAGAGGTGGTTTAGGTATGATTTGTACAAGTACAGGTTGCAAGAACTTTGAGCTGGTAAATGCAAAGGATAGACTGGACTGTTCTTTTATCAATTACCTGACAGAGAATCTTTAACAACTTCATGCTGTAAGCTGCAAAACATTTTATTAGAGTCAACTCTAAATTATCAGGGGATTGAAGGAACAGAGAGAGCTGGACATTCACATTTGTTGAACAGAGCAATATAATGAGGACCGTTGGGGGTTAAATACAGAAGTAGGGAAAAGGTCATTGCTGTTGTGGTGCTTATGAGCCCTTGATGGAAAAATAGATTGAGTATGTGTAATTCAAAGACATACCACTCAAGACTTCACTGCTTGCATTGAAGCTAAAATTCCTTCCATTCAGACCCAATCTTATCAGTTTAAAATCTTTGCAATCTCTCTTATATTTAAAACATAAAGATTTTTGTGGAAGATGGGGATGTTTCAGAGAATCCAGATCACTGGTTAAACATATGCCGAATCCATTCATTCTTTTATTCAACAAATATAGAGTAAGCAATTAACATACGTGAATCTCTGTGATTTAAATGCAGGGATCTGCTGCAAACCTCCACAGTAAAGTTCACAGAAAGGAAAGGGGTGAATTTCAAAGCCAGCAGACAGTATAGGGAAGAGTAGGGGGTCAGATTACTAATCCTAGTTGGAACCTTACATTAACCAGAAGAGAGAGATGATTGAGAGAGGCTGCTGGGGACAATCAGCCTGTGGAAACACAGGAGGAAGGCATGTGGCTTCATGAGCATAAGTGACTAACGGTCATGAAAAACAATAGATTTGTATGCTGAAATTGAGAAGATAGCTATCCCAGTAGATGAGATGGGAATGCAATCAAGTTCGAAGTCTTCTTCCAAAATATTCCATAGAGCCCACATCACGTGTGTCAGTCACTGGAAGATCGGCTTTTCAGAAGACTATAGTCCTGGAAATCTGAAGGCCAGTTTCCAGGCCACCTTTCTTACTTCAGCTTTCTTCTTTGTTTGTGTTATGTGTGTATTTGATTAAAGAATTGTTAACAATGTCCCTTCAGGAAAATCAGTACAGAAAACTCATCCACACACATTTTATTTAAAAAGGAGCCTTACCTTTAATACACCCAGGCTAGCCTTAATGTTCAATAATTTGCGAATAATTTTACTCCATTTTATTCCACCTTGGAAATTTTATAATCATGTTTTTATGGGCTTCTTTTGTTTATAATGGGGCATCTGTAGTATTTCTCCTATTCTTCCCCAGGGAATTTTGTATGACTTTATATGCTTCAAGGAAAGAGGAAATACTATGTTTTAATTTCAAAACAATCTGAGCAGTCAAGGCCTTATTGATTGTCATGCATGCTGGTTTGGGATTCCTGATGGAAGTGTGTGAATTTGAGGAGCTAAAGACACCCAGAGGATGATGAGTTGATACATTATCAGATCAGTGATGTGAATGTGCAGGACTGTGAATGTACAGGAAATCAGAGTTGCTGGATTTTCAACCCATTGTGGAAATAAGGGTCTACATGTGGACTCTGAGAGCATTTAGATTCAGTGAGTCAATAATTCCCACCACATCATAGAAACATATCACCCCTATAGGCCATGGAGTGCTCGGGAAACTTTCTGTAGTAACCAAGTAGCCTGAATAGAAGATTATACACTAACTTTATAGTTTGTTCTGGGGCTTAATTGGTAGATAACATACAGTTAAGTAGTAGTTGCTATCTCTAGAGAAAATGAAGAGGCTTTGCAAGTGCTTCAGGCAGACCTAGAGGAAAAATAAAATATGACACTAATCAAAGTTCCATGTGGAATTTTCTAGCGCAAATATTTCTAGACTCTTGTTAGAAGAAAGATACAGAGGATTGAAGGAGAAAAGACAAAAGGGAGAGAGATGGAAAATAGGAAGGAAGAGAGGAAATGAAGAAAAAGAAAGGGGAGAGGAGGAAAGGAGGAAAAAGAAGGGAAAGGAAGGAGGGGGGAGTGTGTGAGTGTGTGTGTGTGTGTGTGTGTGTGTGTGTGTGTGTGTGTGTGAATCTGTAGCTGAAAATCCAAAGCCAGAATCAGCATCTGAAATGGAAATTTTAGTTTTAATGAGTAATTGAGTTGTTAGCAGAAGTTTAGCCATCAATCTTCAGATACTAAAGAGAGGATTTCTTTATTACATATAGACTCTGCTGACTCGATACCGACAGTGTTAGGCCTGGAACGTGGAGCAGTCATACAGACACAAATCATCATATGTTTTGTGACAAATCATTTTGAAACAGCTAGCAACACCTCTAGTGAGGCTTTAAAAAAACTGGAGATTCTCATAATGTTACTTGTAACTACCATTTACAGAGTTCCTTATAATTTATATGGCCACACAGTAATTTCCAAAGTTAATTCCCAAAATAACCCTCAGAGTTTAAACATTATATTTCCTATGTTTCAGTAGAAAGAACTGGTGCTCAGGGGGTTAAATGAATTTTTTCAGCTACAAAACTGGGACTCAGATCTTCTGAGTATAGATGGTCTTTCTTTCTCAGCTTTCCTGCCTTCATCTCTATTAACTCCTCCATTAACTGGGCCTTGGGGAGACCTGTTACAAAGATATGGTAGTATTTTCAAATTAGATAGCGTGAATATTGAGGTGTCAATGGAAGGAAATAGTTATCATTATAATTTTCACCATTATTATTAGTAAGAAAAACCTAAGAATAAGATATGAATCTTTTTTATGTGATTCAAAATTAATTTTAAAGAATACTAGCACCTCTGGATAGTATTAGGTGTTTAAAGGTTGCAAAAATAATAAACAATAAAATTCATGAAAATTATGAGTAAAATTAAGTTAAATACTTATACCAGAATTTATGAAAAACTTTAATATGCAAAATACACATTTTACATTTCTGTAAGAATGACAGAAAATGTTGCATCTCCTACATATTTTAATTAATTAGGACCCCTCTTCTTTCCCAGCAAGGCAACTTTTAGAATCTGTGGAAATGCCTTAAATCAGATGTTACTTTGGACTAGGAAACAAGCAAGGTACGGTCTAACAAGTTACACTCTGACATGAATCTTAGGCATCTATGGGCCTGTATTTTGCCATCCATCTTAGTGTCCTGGGATAAGAAAACAAAGAGACTGAAAAAACTATTTGGTTAAATACCAGCTCTCCTTGACTAGCATATCTCCTTACTGAGGCAATGATCAACTGGTGGCTACTATAATATTGTCACAACTTGCTATGGTCCTGTATTAGCCCAGGAGACTGTTTGCTGCCAACAAGGCCACTGTCAGACCCCCTCACCTCAGTTTGTTTGATCTGTCTGTCTGAATGTTTTCACGTGTTTACAGAAGTACGAATGTGTCAGAATGTGATGGAAAGTGAAAGCCAGATGTCCTCCTTCATGTCCCTTCAAATATTCATGTAGGCTACGTCCAACTGTTGATTTCTCAACTTACGGTTTCTTGAGCCCAGGGAATCGTATTAGACCCAGGACCTCCAAAACAGAACTGTGATACTTTCTCAAACTGTATACACAATAAAATAGAATTTCTAAAACAGGTAACACTCCAAAGTCAATACTCCCTGAAAGCAAGAAAGTACGAGCATTGCTCCATGCTTTCTGCATGTTAGGCACTAATACAGATGTCAGCTCAGCATGGAGTGGTAGACCACAGAAAGGGCTCTGGCTTCAGCTAGCCCCTGGGTTTGGGGTTTAGCTCCATTACTTACTATTGGTATGACTTTAACCAAGTTACTTACCTTCTCTTAGGCTCATCTCTAACATGGTATCTAATCTATAGAGCTGTACAGCATATAAAATGATACAAAACATAAAAAGTAGTGCCATGCACATAGGAAGTATTGGATAAATGGTAGCCTTTTTATGATGGTGAAGTTTTGCTAATTCAATTTCCAGTGTTCCTCAGCACAAACCAAAGAGACAGAGACTGGAGCCTAATATGACAAAAATTCATTAGGAGATTTGCTAAGTGAAATTTTACTTTTAAAGACAACAGATAATATTTTCTTTTTATTCCACTGCCTAGGTCCTGACCTGTCCTTTCTGATAGCGATTGTTAGAGATCTGAAAGATTCAATGAAATGCCTCTATCGTGCTTTGATTTTTCAAGAGAAATCTTCCACATGTTGTTGAAGTGCCAGAGTTCACCATTACCTTGCGGCAAAACTGATGATTTGTAAACAACGCAATATCCAGTGCCCAAAAAATAACATGATGGAATGTTGCTATAGTTTTCTCCTCACTTTCAATGCCACAATCTCTGCCATGGATTCAGTTCTCAGCACATTCTTCTTGCAGCAATGCTAATCAATCTCCAACAAAAAACAGAAAACTGCATAAAGTTTATGATAAAGAGTAGGATGATTGAAAGGTGCTCAAAAATATTTAAAGTTCCATATCATTTCAAATTTTTGTAGCTTTAGGGGTGAAACTCAGGCATTTAAGAAAAGAACTGCAAATTGTCATTTTGATCCTTTGTGTCTCCCCAGAATCCCATGTACTTCTCTTCCCTTCTCAACACTTCTCTCCTCCATCTTCTTACGTCTTTCTCCATCTCCGTTGTTTCTCCCTCCTCTGCTTCTTTTTCTTCTTCCTTAGGGTCTCATAAGTACTATTTGTTACTTCTAGTCAATATTTATTTGCCAGACACTATACTACTTGCTCAATATGTACTTCCTTTTTTCTCTCTCACAAAATCACAACTTACAAAACAATATAGACAAGAAAACATTTGAAAGATTGCTATTCAGAGATCACTAAGCCTTCATTGACAATGGACCACTGTTAAGTGGGTGACATCAACTATCGCAGTTGAAATGGTTTTTCCTAAAGCATAAAGAGAAAATTTAAATGGAATTCATGTCATTACCTTAGTGCTAAAGCATTTTGAGGCAAACAGTGGATGGCTTTAATTATGTATACATGTGGATTTGATATGTCAACTTTAAAATAAGCTTAATATTCTTTTAAATGACTCTTATGTTTATTGAATTATATATTGGAATTCATTTGCATGTATTTTTCTAGATAGGGTTCTTTAATAATTATCTTGAGGTAAAAAGGGGAAAAGTGGAATGCTTTATATATTTAACTTTTTACATATACTTGCCATCCAACCCAGATCAAACTTTCACATATTTTGCATATACATGATTTTCATTTTGTGTAATGCACATGTAGTATTGTTTGTGCAAACATACCACAAACCATAGCCCCTGGAGTTAATTTGCACATTACAAGAAACCGTAGCAAGCCTATGTGATGTGAGGCATGACTGTATTATGGTTTTCAATACTATATTACAGTTATGAAGCTCAACAGAACTGGATTTTAATTCAGGCCCTGTAACTACCCAGTTTTATGACCTTGGGCAAGTTCCTTAAAGTGTATGAGATCCAACAAGTTTCCTCTTTGGTATTATGTGGAGCAGTAATTGCTACCTTCCATAGCTACTATGAAGGTTAAATGCAAAAATGTACGAAAAGACTTAGTCTACAATACACACTCAACAGAAGCTAATCCCCTTCTTCCAAGGTGATGGCCACTTGTTAAAATAATACCACCCAATCTCTGTCTACCCCACTTTTAACTCATATCTATATATGGAGATGTTTGTATATACTTGCATCCACATATGCAGTTGTACTCATACGAACAACACTTATGCCATCCCAGGTAGACCATCCATTGTAGCATCAAACTTTAATCCATATAATATTCCATACAGGACCCTGACTACAGAAGTGTGAATGCTAATGATACCTTTGTTGTACTTGGGTAACAGTACCTGTGGATGTCACAGTGCCCCCTAGTGGGAAATCTCACCTTTCACCATGTAGCGTCCCTTGCTGCTCTAACCATTATTCCAACACATCATGTAGGTGTTGCTTTCATAATCCTAAATAATAGACATGCTGAATGAGCTTCTCTGTATTTCTGCTTAGACTCTTCCCATTTTTCTTCCCGTGTGACTCTGGACATGAGGGTGTCTTGCTGAGAAGTTCCCACTTCTATCTGCAGACAAGGAAAAGGCAAAGAACACTTTAGCTCACTGCACCAACAGGACCTGAATGACTGTGAGTATACCAATCATTTTGAAGTCCATATTTTCAGAACTTAGAAGGAAATCTGTGTCTTATAATGATGACTTCCTGCATTCACTAAATTTGGGAATATTTGATGTATTTTTTCCTAGACCAAAACCTCTTTGTTTTCATGAGAATTCTGGCCCACAAAAAGATGACATAGGCCAGTGTCTCAAGGAGAAGTAATGGCATTGGTCTTCCTTTGGCTATGGTTCGGTTTTATAAATAATTTTTGCTATCCATCAGTTAACCTATATATTACAATACCCGTTTCTTTTGATGCTGAATTTTATACAGTGAAAGAATTGCTAAGGTTTTTGGAGAAAAATCTGACCTTTAAATTTGTATCTGAAAAAGAAAGACAAAGTTGTATCTGTATAGCTAGTTAATTGTGCAAGTTCATTATTCAATTCAAAATTTCAAAAATGATTGAAAAGCATAGATGTAGATGACATGAGGAGTAAATGTACTAATTTATATCTTGTAGATTGGTTAATTAAGCCAAAGAACTAATAAATGGTATTGAAAATCAGTCAAACTGGTTCCAATGAAGTGAACAGTTAAAACAATTATTCTACCAGGCTGCTTATGTAAAAGCAGAGCAAGTACAATGTTGGAAGAAAATATTCTTCCTGTGGTCCACATTCTCTCACCCCCAGCCCAGGTGTCTGCCAGAGACATCTGGATTGGTCTGATTTCTGCTTCATATCAGTCATTTTGATACTTGTGCTTAACATATTTCCTACACTTTCACTGAAAGTAGTAGAGCTTTCTAAGAGTTCCTTTGCTGGATTAAAACAAAAGGTCTGAAAGAGAAAGGTAAATGAGGGAGAAAAACAAAATGAGGGTCATTGCTGGGATAGATTTGGCACAAACTTTCTGCTACTAATTTAAACCAAACCATGTGGAAGAAGATAGAAATTCAGACCCCAAATCAAGTGCTCTACCTTTTCTTCTGCCTATAAATAACTGTGTGAATTTATTCAGCCTCAATTGTGAGATCTTAACTCATGTAAAAGAGCTGGGTTTTGGCAAAGGTTAAGTGCTTGAGTTTGACTTCTTGTTGCCTTGTTTAAGGGCTAAGTGCTGGGCACCTCATATCCGGAAGGAAGTAGCAAACCTAGGTCTCTGAGTTGCAAGAGAGTGGGAGGTAGTAAAATCATCATACTTTCATTATACTTGAAGCTGTCTTTGCAAAGAGGCTCTTCATCAACTGAGTGCATGTTTCCTAAATTTGGCCTCTCTGTGCTATTGCTTTTGTTGTAATGTACGTTTTGTATCTAATATTTCTTGCTCCTGCTCAGAAATCTTTGTGACTACATTGGTCTTTATCGATAATTTTATGTAGCATCATCCATCACCATGTTGGATGTTGGAACAGGGAATAGCATATTACTTTGTCTTTCACTTGGTGCTCGGACACCATATTGATTTCTTGGTTTACATGTTCGTTAGATGATGATTTGCACTTTCCCTGTATTGTGTTTATCCAGATTATGTTTCAGTTGTGTCCAAAACATATCATCATTAACAACAAACATTTATTGAACATTTATGACCTGCAGATCATGCTCCAGCCTAAGAACTAGGGGTAATAAAAGGAATTTAATGTGACTCCTACCCTGGAGGGTTCTATTATCTATTGGACTATGTTGATTGAAGAAAAAGAAAAGAAGATATATTGCCGCTTAAGACTGGTCAGGGGTATAAATTCTCTTGAATTTGAGAGAAAGGAGTGACTGTTGAGAACTGGATGGTCAAGGAAGGCTTGGTGAAGGATGAAATATGAGCAACTTCTTAGGAGATGCAGTCTCTTTTTATGGGATATTGAACCTAATGAGTTTTTTAACACCAGTGAGCCAGGAAAAAAATAGTAATACTTGCATCTTTAAATAGACTTATTAATTATTTATGAGTTTAAAACTAAAAAACAATATTCACCTGCTTTCCACTGTGCTGCTTCCAGAGTTAGTTCCGTCCTGAAGAGTCTCATCTGCCTCATCTTGTGCATAGAGCAAAGGTCATCTGCCTTTTCATTACAACACTTGGGCCTCGTTGTCAACTTTTAAGATTGTCTATTGCTGTGCCTATAAAATTTGCCTTGGTTTTTCTCCTTTTGTAAGTACTGTTTAGAAAAGTCAACATTCAGTGACTTCTTAAAGTGAATTTTAGTGCAAGAGAACGGAAAAGAAAAAGAGCAGGAAGAATCATTTTCTTGTGAGTGTTGACTCACTGACTCTTAAGGTGAGCTCAGGTTTGACCCGGGAGAGGGTGTTAGTCCACCAAGGGAAATATCCAGCTATGAGATGTTCCAAGCTTCTTCCTTTAAAAGGAAGACATGTTCAAACATTTTTAAATATTGAAAACTTCTCTTATTACTTTTGTGGGACCTTAGTAGTCCAGATAGATGTTTGCTTCGGCTTGTTGACAGACAGCTTCATGGGAGCACTATGGCCGTGATTATTACTATTCTAAAACTGAGTCCTGTGACTTCAGAACCAAATTTTCTACAACTCTCTCTATAATTTTCCTGTGATGTTCTTTTATTAATCTATCTGTTTTATAATTTATTTTGACTTTGATGGAATGGGAGGCAGGAAGGAATCAAAAATCTATTATTTTCTCCTTTTATTTCTTTATATAGCATATATTTAGCAGATAGCTATTGCAAACAGCATAAAACATATCAAAAATCTCTAGGGTACTCCGGCCAGTTTGTTGTTAGACATGTTAAACATGTGAACATTTACATCTTCTAGGTTAAAATAGATCAAAAGAGATAAGCTTTTTATTATTCGCCTCATAATTCAACCTTTCATTTTAGAGTATGTTTTAGATGTAATTTGGTCTAATTTGGGCATATATTTGGTGAACTTGAAGTCTAAATATTCCGTCGAGGTTATTTCTCTTTTCCCAAGGAAAGAATCTCCATCTGCCATCCAAGATGACTGATGTATGTAGGGAACACTGCGATGTCCTCCAGGGACTACGAGATACCGGGTGCTATTCTCACTGCTGGCCACCAGAGAGGTTGGACTGGTCTGATTCTTGCACACTTTGTACTGGTTTCTGCCCATTGTGACTTATCTCAACTGATATTCTGTGATCATGGGTTGCTATTCACAGTTACACCCCATAGTCATTAAATTATATGCATGTTGGAGGGGTCCTTCCACTTTATCTACTTCTTCTAATCTGATGTGGCATGGTCTCAGCATCCCTGTGTTCTCCAAACCCTAATCTAGGGGAGGTGGAGACTCAAGGGGCCCCTGCATGCAATGTACATTTATGTGGACTCAGAGGTCTCCTGGTTCCACCTTCTCCTAGCCATCATAGACAGAGAACAATAACCTGGTTGTTCAAGAAGACCCATTTGGTCTGGCACAGTGTTTCAGTCACCTCACTACCCGTCTTGAGCCATGGACCAACAAAGTCAAGGTCTTTGGTTCTCTGAGAATGAGATGAGATTCTCCGCTGGGGCATCTGCCTCCTACCTGGAGTATCTGCCCTCTTCTCCTTCTTGGAAATTCTTTCTTTACTTCTTATCTGATGTGAACATACCTACTTTTGTGTATTCTATTGTGAGTTTGGGTAAAATTCTGTCACTGAATTTGACAAGATTGGCTTCTATCTGAAAAGGAGACATTTTGGAACTTAAAAAAGACTTTGTCTTTTGACAAGCCTAGCTTTGAAAGCTTTTCTTTCTTTCTTTCTTTCTTTCTTTCTTTCTTTCTTTCTTTCTTTCTTTCTCTTTCTTTCTCTCTCTCTCTTTCTCTCTCTCTCTCTCTCTTTCTCTCTCTCTCTCTCTCTGTCTCTCTCTCTCTCTCTCTCTCTTTCTCTTTCTGTCTTTCAGTATTCATCTTTATGGATGCAAACTTCAATTTTCTTCCTATTTGGCATGAGGCCTTGAACATAGCACTTCTAAAATGAATATGCCATATGTTACTAACTAGAAATTGTATTTCTTCCCAGGCAGTTATTAGTTCTGGTGGCAAGTAAAGTAATAACTTAGATTTTTTAAAAGAAAAACAAAACTTTTTATATCTTTACATTTTCTTCTTTAAGTTTTTGAAGTAGCTTCTGTTAGCAAGTCAGTGTTCCCCAACCCTAATCCTAAAAGACACATAACACAGAAGTGGCATCACAGGTCAAATAAACTTACGAATGTTGTATCCTTCATGGATTCTCATAGTACATAGGCATTTCCAAGTTTCTGAGAAAACTTGCTACTTTTTAAAAATGTTTAATTTATTTTCCTTGGTGTTTTCCAAGCACAGTTGAACTCAAAATCATTTAGTTGTTATTTCAGTAATGTTTTGAAATGTACTATATTAAAACAAGGTAAAATATTTAAGAAGATAAAGAAGGAGGAGCAATCTACAAAAGTGAAAAAGAGAGTTTTGTCAAGCCCTGAATTGAGTAGATCGTGATCCACAGATAAATAAATTTGCCTCAATTTTTCCATTGTTTGGACAAAGGCACTTACATTCTCACACAGGGAATTTGTCTGCTATTTGCTTTGAAATTCCTTTAGCTGCACTTAAGAGTGTATCTTATCTGTACATGAAGAACACTGAGAAATTCATGTAGTAAATAATTTCGATGTTTTTATCTGCTTATTTGTAGAAGACATAGCAATGTTATTTAAATAATCTTATTGAAATAAAATATTCCTCATAATCTTTTGCTCCGTGAAGTAAGAAAAATGTGAGGTTAGTTAAATCCTTTGTTAGAAGTAAGTTCACATGGAAAACTCAGAGAATCCGGCTTGAAAAGGTAAAATGGGAAGGAGTTACCAACTTCATAGGCAAAATATTCGGGGGGCTAAATGAGACGTGCAGAAAGATTCACTTGTAAAGCATAAAGAGAAGTAAAAAAAAAAAAAGTCAGTTCCCAATTTCCGTATCTCCAAAAACCTAAATTATTATATCTTAAATATTTGCAATAAAAAACTAAAGTTTCCATTGTTTTTAAACTCTATTTTCTGAACT